AAAATAAACCATTTCCATTGGTGAATTTCTGATTTCGTATCTCGACCCGAAATCGTCCCTGGATTTTTGCTGTAAAACTCGCAATAGGGTATTTTGTTGATTCTAAAATAATAAGAATAGTTTCGAGAATTATAAATTCAATAAACCAAATATAAAGGTCGTATAAAATTCGAATAGAATCAGCGCAGTTTGTTACGTTATGATCAAACTCTTTATTGTACAGCTAGCGCTATCTAGTGGCGATTGAACAAATGTACCTAACGTCAATAGAAGAGAATCTATTTCGAAGAAAATGGATTGTAAAACATAAAGTGTTTTTTTAATAAATTTAGTTATTTATTTTAGTATTGCATAATTCAAAACTGTATAAAGTATATGTTTTATGACACACAAAAAAAGGAATCCTTACCTTAAATCCTGTTGTAGAGTCTACAACAGGATTCAAGGTCTACAATGTAGACATTACTCATACTACTACTATTTCATTATCTGTGGCTCGGGTATTATATAGTTAGAACACTAGTCTAATTAAGGGAGGTAGGAAGTACCAAAGAGTTTTGACTAATCAAACCTTTTTGTAATGATAACTAGCTGAGGTTGTGTTCCGCTGTCTTAAAGATAGTAGAACGAGTTATGAGCCCACAAACATAGACGCGAATCCCATCTGGTGCGAGTTAATAGAGCAGTTATGCTTTACAGTTTGAAGGGTTTGATGGCTCAAATTTTCATGATTGACTTCTACGCAATAAAAAAAAAATTCAATTTCATAATCTAAGTAGTAGTGAGGCGTCTTATGAGCCCTTACAGCTACGTAAAAATACCCTATCTTTATCTACAGCGTAACAGTAGGTAATGCGTTTTAGTTTGAAGGTTAAAAGGTCATAAAACTCAGAATTAGACCTAATATCTTAAGATGGGTGACGGTATAAAAGTTGCGGTTATTGTGGGTTCCGGTAACCACATAACAGCTAGCGTGGTGTGAGCACAACCACCAGTCTAAGCAAAAAAAAATAGATATTAGTTGCATAGTGCCAAAAAAACTTAGTACCTAATTCCTTGAGCTGTTAGTCGAATAAATTGAATCTAAAGAGAAAACGGCACCATTTTGAGGTTAGAAAAAGTGTCTCTTAATTTGTCGCATGAGAATAGTAATTGTTAACCACAGAACAAAAACAAATTGTCGAGCTTTTAACACACTAACTCACAACAAACATAAAAACTTACTCTGAGCCAAAGTATGAGGTTTTCATTGTTTCTAATAAATGTTGTGAGGTTATATTTTACACATGTGAAAAAATCGGATAGCCGAGGCGAAAGGAAACAAAAATCTCAGACTAAATCTTAGATTAATGTACCTACTCTTTGGACTAAGTGATACCATATTATTAGTAGTGTACTGAAGATAGCTAAGTAATAAAGAGGAAAAGAAATCAATTTCAGAGCGTTTTTGTAAATCTATCCGTAACAGTGACTTTTGAAAATTAGTCCCAAACTATTTTCATATTTCGCTTTATTGGCCGTATATAAATTATATTATAGCTGACCCGGCAGCCTTCGTAGTGCCTCAATCGATAAATAAAAGACCTAAACTTTTGTATAAAATATACTTAAAACAAACAAAAGGAATCCGTCCGACGGGGGACACACCTAAGGGAAACAAAATTGTTATTTTTATTGAATTCCGAGCATTTTCATATTTATCTACCTTTTAAACCTTCTCTGGACTTTCACAAATAATTTAAGACCAAAATTAGCCAAATCGGTCCAGCCGTTCTCGAGTTTTAGCGAGACTAACGAACATTTTTATACTTAGTCTGGCCATAAATACTGTGACAATTAAAAATAAACAAAATATTACATTTGAATTTGGAATCTGTCATTTTTATATGATTGCTCATTGAGTTTTCTCATTTTGGCGCCAATACATTGTACAATATTTTGCGATATTAAGTAAAATGGAGTGGGGTGATAAAGAGAACCGAATCGCTGTGATTGCATTACATAAAGTAGGTATGGAGCCAAATGCAATTTTTAAAACTCTCCATACGCATGATATTAGTAAAATGTTTGTGTACCGGACTATTAATAGGTGCAATGAGACCTCCACTGTTTGTGACAGAAAAAGATCTGGCCGTCCACGTAGTGTTCGTACGAAAAAGGTGGTCAAAGCAGTAAGGGAAAGAATTCGAAGAAATCCTGTCCGAAAGCAAAATATTTTATCTCGGGAGATAAAGATAGCACCTAGAACCATGCCGCTTTTTTTTAAAAGATGACTTAGGATTTGCAGCCTATAAGAGGTACTGGTCATTTCTTAACTGATAATTTAAAAGAGAATAGGGTGGTAAAATCGAAACAACTACTGAAGCGGTACGCAAAGGGAGGTCATAGAAAATTTTTGTTTACGGATGAGAAATTTTTTACAATTAGCAACATTTTAACAAACAAAATGACCGTATTTATGCTCAAAGCTCTAAAGAAAGCTTCCCAATTAGTCGACAGAGTGCAACGTGGGCACTATCCGACTTCAGTGATGGTTTGGTGGGGTATTAGCTATGAAGGAGTGACCGAGCCATTCTTTTGTGAAAAAGGTATCAAAACATCGGCACAAGTGTATCAAGATATCATTCTTGAGAAGATAGTGAAGCCCCTTAACAACACCATGTTCAATAATCAAGAATAGTCCTTCCAGCAAGACTCGACGCCAGGTCATAAAGCTCGGTCTACGCAGTCTTGGTTGGAAACGAACGTTTTGGACTTCATCAGAGCTGAAGACTGGCCGTCGTCTAGTCCCGATCTTAATCCGCTGGATTATGATTTATGGTCAGTTTTAGAGAGTACGGCTTCTAAAACAATCCGTACGATTGGCAGTGAAAATTTTTCGCATGGAAAGATTGCTTGCTACTTTTTTTTTATTTTACTGCTTAGAAGGGTGGACGAGCTCACAGCTCACCTGGTGTTAAGTAGTTACTGGAGCCCATAGACATCCACAACGTAAATGCGTCACCCACCTTGAGATATAAGTTCTAAGGTGTCAAGTAAGTTACAACGGCTGCCCCACCCTTCAAACCGAAACGCATTATTGCTTCACGGCAGAAAATAGGCAGGGTGGTGGTACCCACCCGCGCGGACTCACAAGAGGTCCTACCACCAGTAATTACGCAAATTATAATTTTGCGGGTTTCATTTTTATTACACGATGTTATTCCTTCACCGTGGAAATCAATCGTGAGCATTTGTTGAGTACGTATTTCATTAGAAAAATTGGTACGCGCCTGAGATTCGAACACCGGTGCATCGCTCAACACGAATGCACCGCACGTCTTATCTGTTAGGCCACGACAACTTCAAATTCTATTGATAACTGGCCTCAACGTTTAAAGGACTGTATTGCAGCCAATGGAGACCACTTCGTATAATCTTTTTATACTTTAAATTGTTTTATATTTATGTATTAAACTAACACACTGTAAAAGTAATAAATGATATTTGCAACTGTTTTTTTTTTCCTGTCTCAGTATTTATGGCAAGACTAGATATATATAGATAGATGTATTATGCTTTCCATTCCATTATCAAGTTTTATATGAACAGAATCAAGAAATATTAGAAATTCTTTACTGCTATTGAAACTATTGGATCTACAACAATAGAACAGCGCAATAATTTGAATTATGTAATTTCGTATAAAATAATACTGCACTTACCTAATTTTCCTACCTAAGCTGATAGATTAGCCTTGAGAGGCTACGTGAGCGTAACCTAACAAGTAGGTGAGCTCACGAGCTTAAGCCTGACGACGTTGCTAACACTAACCCTAACTAGAGCAGTGCTTCGCAGAATCTCCCACCGGATCAGAAACGCGACCCACTGAGGAGATCCGGCGAGAAACTCAGTGGGTTGTCTGTGTGTTAATCAATATCGCATTTAAAATTATACGTTTTATCTTCCTAAAATTCTATTTTTTTTAGTGGGAAAAATATGATTGTCAAGAAGCAGAAACATTCAACATGTTTCAAGTATTTTTTTACAACTGATACATTATGTAGGTATATACATTAAAACTACGTTTATTACCTACTAGGTATTTCTGTCGTAAAGTCGTTTTAAGAAACTGGGATATAGAACTTATGTTTTAAGATAGGTGACGTTATTAATGTTTACAAGCTACGGTAACCACTTAACACCAGGTGGGCCGTAATCTCGTCCAGCCAGCAGTGCCATCCAGACATTAAAAAAATCCCTAATAAATTTCGCGACATTTGTCGAAATATTTGAAATAAACGCAAACTACAATGCTTACGAGGTTGTAGACTACCCATAGTGAATGAAAAATAAAACAGAACGATTTAAATGTAAAACCATGTTATTTGGAAATATCAACTACATCTATATTTAACATAGACCTTTAGTAACTTCAGGGATATTTAATCAATAAGCGATTTTATGACCTGGTAACTGAGACATTTAAGTCATATCTTATTTTAATTTATATTCTTATTTTTATGAAAACTGATAATATGAAGTAAAATGACGCCAAAAAGTCGTTTACGTGGGAACGTGAGGACTGAAGTTGTGTGATTTGTTTTTTTTTTTGTCTATTTAGTGTTTCTTCAGGCTTAAATGTGTAATACCGGTGGTTTATTAATTATTTAATATCTGTGAAAGTGAACAAATGTGGGAAAATGAAACAAAGCCGCTGGACGTAATTTCTCGGGATCCTCCAAAAAGTCCACTGAAAAAATTTCAGTAAATGACCACCATTTTACTGAGATTATATTTTATCCCTTAACATCTCATTTCATTTGATTTCATCCGAGTTGATTAATATCTTAAATTAATCATCTTCATTTCATTTTATTTTACTCCATATTATCATTTTTAATAAAAATAAGAATATAAATTAAAATATCATATGACAAAGGTCTCAGTTACCAGGTCATAAAATCGCTTAAAAAAAAAGAAAACGTAAATAACAAACACAAAACACCGCTTCCGCAGTCTTCTACGAATCTGACCAGGAAAATTGGCAAATAAATTGTGACTACAACTCTATAAAATGTTTTCTCCGCTAGTAAAAATTCCATTACAACTTCTGCTTCCATTGAAGCATCGCTATCTACCATATGTACCAATTACTTATTCAAATAAGCGAAAATGGTAAGTGAATACGTTGGTGTTTTGTATTTTTAAAAAATATTTTTGAAATTCCCGTTGTAATATAAGTTCTAATAAAATTTAAAGAATGTGTAATTCATATAAAAATTTCTGACATTATAATAAGAAACAGTAGCTAAAAGTTATTCTCAGAAATGTTCAATTAATAAAAAATAATGAACAAATTAATATTAGAATAATTAAGTAATAAACAAATATTTTTTATTTATTGTATTAAAATGTAACGAATCTAATATCAGTGTTTCAGCTTAAAGTTTTTTATCTTGAAAAATTTATATTAGTTATTTTTATCACCTTTTTTCTGTTGTAATTTAATATTATTTGTGATTAATTCTTCAGCAATATTAATGATGTCTTCTTCATTTGCTGTATTTAGGAACTCATCATTTAGATTTCTTCTCAAGTTAAGATATTCACTGTTATCATTCAGAGCCTGTTTGTACATTTAAATATAATTATCGAAATTTATCAAATTAAAGTTTACTTTTAATCAAAATGATCTATGAAATAATCATTCTTTAATATAATAATTGTAATATTATTTATTATTTAGTTGCCAAAAACGATGAGTTATATTTTATATTTATGTAAACTTTTATTATTTCGTAAAGTTTTTGTAACTATACACATTCATGACCATACTAAGTGTTTTTACACTTATTTTTAGGGTTTATCAAAAAATGGACTACTTCTATTTGTGCTTATCTGAATGGCTCATTTAAATATTAGTTTATGATAATATAAAATTATGATAATATAATTTAATGAAATCCTGCAGTCATTAAATTTTGTTGATGTAATTGGACACTCAAAATTAAATCTTCAACTTCAAAAAATACAGGCATCCACTACTAATAAGAATTTGTATGCTCCTCACTTGACTTAGGCAGAGTCTAAGTTAATAAAACGAGCAGAAATTATAATACTCACTAAATATTTCAAACCACTTAAACTTATCATCATAATATTGATTAAGTTTCATAAACCATGCTTGAATTTAAATGTCAGAATGAACAAATACCAATTTTGAGGTAATTTAGGCCATAAATTTCAAGCTTGATGCGCGATTCAAATTGAAAATTTTTATTGGTGTATTCTTGAAAAAAAAAGTATTATTAGTCAGATTTAGTCTAGATTTTAAATAGTTTTGTAGAATAGTCATTACTCCATTACACTCGAAATTTCTCATGGATAATGAGATGCATTGTAATTCCAGATGATGGGTTAAAAAACATAAGTTCCTGATTAGAAAGAGCTAATGCATAATAATTCATTTTTATCTAAATTGACTTTGTTTTTCACACAGTTCTTGAAATTGGTGTTTTATCTGACAGTTATTTTATTAGAAGCCTCCTGCTGCAGATCTATGATTAAGGTAATAAAATCATTATAATATAAATTATTTAACTCACATTAAAGTTTCTCTGTGTAACTGATTAATGTTGTTGAACTTTTCATTTTTGTCTTTTATTTCAGAAAGATCCAATAATAACAGTAAGTCAAGGACAGTTGAAGGGCACAATAAAAAATCTACCTGATGGTACTCCATATTATAGTTTCAAAGGAATTCCATATGCCCAACCACCTATTGGAAAGTTGAGGTTCAAGGTAAAAAAAACTGTCATAATTAGAATTTCAGATTTATAGTTTATGTTTATTCAAGTAGGATTTTAATGTAGATTTAGGCTGAATGATTTTGTATAAGATACTTTTATAGCATGTATGTAAACAATCACTAGTTGTCATCACTAAAAAAAAAGGAAAATGTGATGGTGGTTTTTGTTCTGATACTCTTCATCTATGAAGGAATTATTCATAGTAAATTTAATTATTATTATTTTTTACTATTACAACAAAAATCGTGAATCGTTTAAGTTACTGTAATATTTTGATTTTACTGTTATGGAAAATTACAGATATTAGCTATCTAATTTGTACAAGTACTACAAAAACGTAAATTGTGTTTTATAGGCACCTTTACCTCCATTGCCTTGGGATGGAATACGTGACGCTAGTGAGCACGGACCCGTGTGCCCTCAGTACGATTTGTCGGTTTCCAAATTGGTTGAAGGAAGTGAAGACTGTTTATTTTTGAATATCTACTCAAAGTCAATACAACAGAATGCCAAAATACCAGTGATGGTCAATATTCATGGCGGAAGTTTTATGTATGGTTCGGGAAACACTGATTTTGCTTTTGGACCAGAATTCCTCATACAGCATGACGTCATTCTAGTTACACTGAATTACAGACTAGAAGTATTAGGGTTCCTTAGTCTCGACATACCAGAAGTCCCCGGGAATGCCGGTATTAAAGATCAAGTTGCCGCACTGCGATGGATTAAAGATAACATAGCGAAATTCGGGGGTGATCCTAATAAGATTACCATACTCGGCGAGAGTTCTGGTTCTGGCGCTGTCACACACCACTTACTGTCCCCCATGTCGAAAGATTTGTTCCATGGGGCAATAGCTCAAAGTGGTGTGTGCTTACAAGAATGGGCAATTGCTGATGGCGCGAAAGAGAGAGCATTCCGAGTAGGGAAAGTTTTAGGAAAAGATACAAAGGATACAAATGAGTTGCTTGAATTTTTGAGAAGTGTGCCAGCTATTTCATTAGCAAACATGACTTTCATGACACAAACATCTGATGAAAAGATAAGGGGGCTTCCGGTTTATTTCGTTCCAGTTATAGAAAAGAAATTCCAAAATGTTGAAGCATTTTTAACTAAAAATCCATTGGATATTTTAATATCTGGTAAAGTGAATAAGGTGCCCTTGATGATTGGTCATATGTCTGCCGAAGGTCTTTTGTTGCTAAAAGATATGTTAGATAAAAAAGAAACAATGAACCCACAACCGTCCTATCTCGTACCCAGAGAAATAGCTAAAGTAGTATCACAGCGAAAACTCGAAGAATTTGGTGCGAGAATTAAAAAATACTACTTCGGTAACAAAGAAATCTCAAACGAAACAGCAGAGGCTATTGTTAATTTGCAAACGGACCTTCATTTCGCGTACAACATTCACAGATTTGCGCATCTCTATAGTTCCACTGGTGCTCCTATTTACATGTATAGATTTGAGTATGATACAGAGCTGAATGCTGTTAAAATTGATTTAGGACTACAGAGTATGAAAGGAGCTGCCCATGCCGATGACCTCTTCTATATTTACTACAACGGCTTTAACAAAGATCTGTACACAACAAATCAGAATTCAAAACGTGCTATTGATCATGTAACGAAACTTTGGACTGACTTCGTTAAAACCAGGTGAGTGAACGAGCGACTTTCATTACAGTACTATGTGAATCCATTTATCTTCAGAGATGATTTTGCTTCAATTACTCATAATGGTTAGGGTACATTGGTCGTAGAACAGATGTCCCCTGGGGCCGAAAAGCTCCCGATTGTCAATCGCCTATCGGAAGACGTAGCGTGTGTAAGCCTCTTACAAGGTTTATCGCCCTGTTGAAGGTCGCAGGAAGCCACTGGTTGCAGCCTTGGCAGGACTGGTTATTGTGGCGAGGTTTGAGGGAGGCCCAAATCTGTAAGCTAAAAGATAGATAGTCATAATGGATTAAACTTAGATTTTTTTTCCTCACCTAATTACTAGTCGCTTTGAGAGGCTATTACCGGACGGAGAAACTAGACATTTCCGTATACCAAAACTATTAGTTACATTTACGTCTTCTGATTTTTTCGCACGATCGCGTTTCGTACCAGTGAGCAAAGCTGTGTTTTACTTCAAAATGCAAGTATTAATTATTATACCTGCTCCTCGTCTAACTGCCGTATCGCTAAGCTGTGTCTCGCTTGCATTTAGTCTACATTGGTTCTATGAACAGCGCTAGAATAGCTAAGTACAGAATTGCGTAGCTTGATTAACTAGCAAATACTATACTAGCGTAGCTTGGTACCACCTTGTTGCACATTTTCTTGCGCAAAGTGCCCGGGTTTGATAGATGGGACAGTCGTTATACATTTGAGACATCAATCTCGTATCTTGAAATTGAATTTTGTGAGATTTGTCCTGGAAATTACGAAAAGAAACCCAAGTCATCCAGATCCCGAAAATCCAATATCTTTCACAAAAACATTTCCTCAAAATTAAGTACTCTTTAGTTCATTTCGCATCTACCACTCACGAAAAACGTAAAATTTCAATAGTAAAGTTTATCTATTCACCAAGCAACAAATGTAAATATGAAATTATTAGTTTTTCGTTCGTTTAGAAAAAGCATTACTGTTTGCCCACATGACCATTATACTCAATAATCATCATTTTATTATCACAGTAGAATATGACACATGAATTATAAAGCTAGAATTATTTCCCAGTCTGATTCACTACGGCTCGCAATAACTAAAGATAAATAGGTAATATGAGTTATTTTCCTTAAGGAAAAACGCAGCGGCGAATGTCCCAATAGTTAAGAGGCCTTTATTTACTAAAGCGTTTGCATAATGAAGTGGTTTTTCCCTCACCAGTTAATTTTATTCATTCATTGTTTTAAGGTGGAGTAAATTGTTTTTGGGTTTTTTCATATGGTTTTAAGTTATGTTTTGTTATAAGAATAGCGGTTTCAGCGTTGGAGAAAAGACGAAAGATGAAAAAAAAAAATTTTTTTTTCTTCCGAAAATGGATAGATGAAGATTTGGTTCACCAGATTCAGTATTCCGCTGTCAACTAAAGGGAAACTTCAAGCTAGTCTTAATTTTACTATATTGAGTATCGAAATCAGACGTGTTTCGGTTTCAAGATCAACATTATTCCAATGATTTTGAGAGTTTGTTGTTTTATCTAGCACTTAACTTAATACGACTTAATACGGATAAGACGTTCGGTGCATTCGTGCTGAGCGATGCAACGGTGTTCGAATCTCAGGCGGGTACCAATTTTTTTAATGAAATACGTACTCAACAAATGTTCACGATTGACTTCCACAGTGAAGGAATAATAACATCGTGTAATAAAAATGAAATCCGCAAAACTATAATTTGCGTAATTACTGGTGGTAGGACCTCTTGTGAGTCCGCGCGGGTGGTACCACCACTCTGCCTATTTCTGCCGTGAAGCAGTAATGCGTTTCGGTTTGAAGGGTGGGGCAGCCGTTGTAACTATACTGAGACCTTAGAACTTATATCTCAATGTGGGTGGCGCATTTACGTTGTGGATGTCTATGGGCTCCAGTGACCACTTAACACCAGGTGGGCTGTGAGCTCGTCCACCCATCTAAGCAATAAAAAAACTTAGAAATAAATATTTTTTATTTAAGGAATCCAACACCAGATAGCTCCAGTGTGAAATGGAAGCGCTATAATACTAATACAAAGGACTTCATGATCTTAGACGAGGAAATGCGAGTTGAACAATATTCTGAACGCGCTCGGATCGAGTTTTGGGATAAAATTTACTGCGATGGCGGAAGGCCGTGCATGGAGAAAATAAATTAATTTATATTACATATTTAAAATAAGGTTTATAATTTGTAAATATAAATAAATTAAGATAGAACCGCTATACTCTTTGTTTTGTAGCAATTACCTTGCTCATTGTGTCAACAAACTGCGAATCCGCATGTGCCATTATGGCTTGGATATATATATACATTACGGAATTTATAGTACATTGTGCACCAAGGGAGAAAAGTAGGAAATTTCCTCCCGCTTGTAAAATTGCCTTGGCAAACACGCGGGATGAGATGTCCTACTTTTTCCCATGGTGCAAATACTATTTTTTCTTTTACCAGGCCGAAAGTTCGTGGAGTACCGAGCCGGTATTCATTTTAATTAGTATAAAATATTCGTTTTGAAAGTGAATTCGTATGGATACGAGACCTCGATCGAGTATTTTCATTCAGGTCACGCGGCTCACCGGTGAACCTTATCTTAAAATATAGACATATACTGTCGCAGACTTTTTATAGAACTTTTAAATGGGAACAATTCTCTCATGCATTATTTCAGCGAAACTAACCGTTTCCGCAGTGCACGCAGGAGAAGCTCTCAAAAGGAAAAAAACCCGATTTTGAAACATTGTTTATTAGTGCTCCGCTCGTATAGGTCTTAGCGTGATGTTAGATAGCCTATAGACTTCCTCAATAAATGGGCTATCTAATACTGAAATAATTTTTCAAATCGGACCAGTAGTTCTTGAGATTAGCGCGTTCAACCAAACAAACAAACAAACTCTTCAGCCGTATAATATTAGTATAGAATATATAGATTTACATAAACTATAATAATACCTATATGGATTTTAAACAAATCTAAAATTTTGCTTCTGTTAGATCAAGGTAATTGGCATCGGCGGAGTTAGAGTCTGAACAATGAGAGACAGTGCGACTATTGTCTTAAACACAGAACACTATTACTTCTAGCGAAGGTCTTAAATGTCATATTGTCAGTTAGAAATAGCAATTTCGTGGACTTCGTGGTAACCATTTCACTTAAAGATAATACACTTAAATTCACCTATTATTTGATTTCACCGTAAGCCTTTGTACAGAGTAGATCTAATAATGTTTCTTTCATGGTAAAATCGCTCTTTCGTCGCGGACGTAAAATGTAATTATGTCAGTGGCATAGAAAATACACTTCATATGGTTGGATATAAATAATAATAAATCGCATTTTGTTATTTTTATTAAACATGACTATCAGTTTGTTGTTTAAAAACAACCTAAACAGACTAAATGGGCGACTAGTCATTGACCATAAATAAAAAAATCTTCAGACTCAAAGGAATAATGGTAAAAAGATTAGGAACTTTTGGCGGGAAAATGAAGTGTAAACTTGTGTGAATCGTTTTATTTTTTCATTTTAGTTTCTTTTATCTATTGTGCCTACATCTGTACTTCAAAGGCTTAATTTTAACTGTTTAAGTGCTTATCATCTGTAAAAGTCCACAAGTTTAGGAAAATAAAACAAAATCGTTAGACCTGCCCTTTCGGGTTTCATTCATTGAACTGAATTTTTTGATTCTGACCATCATAATGAGATTTTTTCAATTTCAGTTTCGTCACATATAATTAATACATATTTCATTTCATTTCATAGTCAATTATTTCCTTCTATTTCAGTTTTTATACGATAAACTTGACTATGCCTGAATCTATAAAATATAATAATTAGGGACGAATCAAACAAATATTCAATAAATGTAGGTAAAGATTCAAAAAAACGTCAAAATTTTAATAACGTTTATAAAGTCAAATCACAGTCAAATGAACAAAGCGTCAGCCGTCAATACATCAAACGTCTACTAGACTAAAAATTAATCAAAACATGATTAAGTCCAAAGTTCAGCAAACTACAAAAATTCAGTATAAATGTTCTTATTTAAAAGAACACACAAATTGCTGCTTCGAACGAAACACTTCAAGGAGTTTTTTACCTCAACAAAAATAATAAATAATATGGTAAACAACAATAGAACAATTTTAAATTAGGCGAAAATGTATTTCTATAAAAAAATAAAGTTGAACTACATAGGTACCTTACATGCTTTTAAAGTTTTAATGAATTTCCTTTAGTGTATGTGCTTATTTAAATAAAAGGCCATATTACTCATAACGTGGTTGAGTAAAAACTTGTGACATGCTTTAAACTGTAACATTTGTTTTAAACAAGAAAAATAGCTATAAATCCAATATTAATGTATAAAAATACAGGTTTTAATTAAAATATATTCGTAAAATACAATTTATGATTTGTTGATGCAGTTTATTTTATATTATATGTTTTACACTAAGATTATATTATGTATTTTTCTTTCAACTACTATGATGACTTATTCAGAGATGTGGAGTTAGACAGCATATTAAAATCATCTCATTCGCTGTGTCCAACCTCGTAAACCCTGCCAAGGTAAAAAAAGGTTTTATGAAATACTTTCCCATACTATTTATACATACCCTTTTAGATTTTATTTCATTAATTGTTTTTATGATTTAGAACCAAATAAATAACATTGTTTTCTAGTGTTTGATTTTTACTAACACTTATTTTTGTAAGCAAGGCAATATAACTCACATCGTGTCAAATGGTTTTTAGAGCCTGAGATCTATCATAAGAACTAAATTCTTCAAATATTTTAAGACAGAAAGTAGCAATAGAATTGTACCAACCCATGTTAACATCAACCAATCTTTGTAGTCATTCTGGCCTAAAGCATAAGACACCCAGTGCATTTGTATCAAGTGATGCGACTGTGCTGGTGCTCAAATCCCACAGCCAGGTACCGATTTTTGTAATGAAATATCTTACTTTACAAATGATTGACTTCTATGGTAAAGGAACAATATTGTGTAACAAAAATAAAACTCGTAAAATTATAATTTGCATAATCACTGGTGGTAAGATGTCCTGTAGGATGGCACAGGCTGGTACCACCACCTTGCATATTTCTGCCACCAAGCAGTAATGCGTTTCGATTTGAAGGGTGCAGCAGGGCGGAAGGGTAGAATGAGAAGCTTTGCACTGATATAAACTGATAGAGAAACACAAGTAAATACCAAGAATTGTAGAGAAATTGTATTGTGAAAATAATCTGGCCTCTTAGATAATATATATTATTTCATTGTTACCACATCATGATTCATGAATGTCAATGAAATGTAACACTTGTGTAAACAGATAGAACATAGGTTTTATAAAATATTACAATTGCATAATACTTAATTGATATGACTTGTTTTTTTATTGTTTTAATAGGTAATTTTTACATGATAAACATTTGCTATTACATAAATTTACCACTGTTGATTGTGTGAGTTTTAATGCACGATTGTTTGTGCACCTTCTCAGGATAATCCACTGGTGACAGTTGAACAAGGAACTCTAAGAGGCTCTAAGAAAACCCTACTCGATGGATCCCCATACTACAGTTTTAAGGGAATTCCTTATGCAGAACCACCTACAGGAGAGCTCAGATTTCAGGTAAATAAATATTTAATATGATATTCTATTTTAGTACGTATTTACACTCCAGTAAATATGTTGAACTGAATATAGTGAATTATATAACAATGTGATGATTATTCCGGTTTGCGCTGTCATTTAAGAAAGGGCTTGTGGTTAATATTAGACTGGGTTCTACTGGGCTCTCTCAGTGTCTGATAGAGACCTGAGAGAGAGATAGATGAAGTTATTATGAGTAATTAACACTGAAGGATATGACCAAAGGAATTTAATGGTCTTGTGAGTGTTCACGAGAATACTAAACATATTTTATAGGTCTGTTCTCGTTTTATTAATGGTGAGTGCTAGCATTATATTGCCGATATATCAATTTCAACCGGTCACCGTCCTCGCCGTACCCGACGATTGCGACGAAGGGCTCGATGAGTAAATTAACCTATAGACACAGCCCACTGAGTTTCTCGCCGGATCTTCTCAGTGGGTCGCATTTCCGATGCGGTGGTAGATTCTGCGAAGCACTGCTTTTGCTAGGGCCAGTGTTAGCAACACTTCCGGTTTGAGCCCCGTGAGCTCACCTACACGTGAGCATAGGTAGGGGAAAATTAAAAAAGCAGACAGGGCTATTGTCACCATGTCAGTACGCTCGACCAGCCATTACCGCCTGCCATTTCTCATGACGATATTGGCCGAAAAGGCTAAATTTTTTATATTATTTAAATAATATAAAAAATTCCCCGAGACTACGCCATGCCACATGTCGATTCACTTATGACTGCTCTGTTAATTGTGTCAGTGCACTTTTTGATAATGAAAAGCTTTGATTAATGCCCTAAGAAGCTCTCGCTATCCAGCAGAGTTTAGGGCTGGTGCAGAAAGCAATCGTCCTTAACACGGTGTACATCGTCAGGTTTCTGATTCTGGAGCTTGCCACTAATTTAAGACGAGCGTTTTTGTAGTGTTTCTTAAAACGTTTTATTATTTTGAGCCAGTTTCACTGAGCCCGTGAGCTTATCTACCCGTCCGCCCGTAGCTGGATTGACCCCTTATGCTATCAGAGACCAAGTAGGGAAAAAAACAACAGTTATTAGGAGTTCCCAGTAATCGCATGGGTCAATTGACAATTCATAAAAATTGATGATAACATCGTGGACGGAGTTGGTTGACTGTGCAGTCTTACTCGGAATGATGCGATTTATTTTTCATATTTGACTGAACTCACGGGCTACCTAGTCTTAAACAGTCGCAACGCAAATACAACCACTCATCTTGAGACAATGGGACCTAATTGGTGAACACATGCAATATATGTATGTGTTTGGTCCGAAAAATGGTCTCCGCCTTTGGGATTTGAATATCGACAGAGTCATCTCGCTCAAAATTAATACACCGGGCGTTTTATCCTTTTTTTTAGCCATGATCTTCATAGACATTCACTAAAATTACTTATTTATTTATAATAATTTTAAAAAAACAATCGCGAATACGTTATGAGAATATGTAATTAGTGTATAGTTTGAAAAAAGAAACAATGGGCGTTTTACAAATTAAATTTCAATATTGCAGGCGCCAAAACCTCGTAAGCCGTGGAATGGGGTCCTCGATGCTGTCGAGCACGGACCCGTGTGTCCTCAATATGACATTAGTACTTCATCAACAATTGAAGGAAACGAAGATTGTTTGTATTTAAACGTTTATACCAGATCTTTACAGTCGGATAGTAAAATACCAGTCATGGTATACATTCACGGCGGAGGCTACTCGTCTGGTTCGGGCAATTCGGGAATGTACGGCCCGGAATTCATTATTCAGCACAACGTTGTTCTGGTCACGATAAACTATAGACTCGAACTGTTGGGTTTTCTTAGTTTAGACACGGCCGAAGTTCCAGGCAACGCCGGGATGAAGGATCAGGTTGCCGCGTTGCGATGGGTCAAAGGTAACATCGTAAGGTTTGGCGGTGATCCTGATAATGTAACAATTTTCGGGGAAAGTGCAGGGGCCGCGTCCGTCACGTATCACACGCTTTCACCAATGTCGAAAGGTCTGTTCCATAAGGTGATCGCTCAAAGCGGTGTTTGTATTAACGACTGGGCGATAGGAAACAAAACTCTGGAAAGGGCATACAGAGTTGCGAAATTATTAGGTAAAGAGTGTAGCGATGTACAAGATTTGTTGGAGTTTTTGAGGAGCGTTGATCCTCTCAAGCTAACCTGCGTGACTTACAGAACAAGGACGCAAGATGAAAAGTACAGAGGACTGCCAATGTACTTTGTTCCGATTGTAGAGAAGAAATTCGATGGTGTCGAAGCATTTTTAAGCGAGGAACCAATCGAGACGCTTATGTCCGGTAATATAAACAACGTACCGATACTGTTGGGTTACAATAAGTCTGAAGGAGTGTTGATGTTGGCGGATGTATTAAAAAAAAAAGAAATTATGAACGAAAAGCCTTCGTTTATTGTGCCTAGGGAAATAGCGCAAACCGTTTCCGAAGAGAAATTAAAGGAATTTGGTGAGAGGATCAAGAGATTTTACTTTGGTGACGAGGGAATATCAGCGGACAACACAGCAACAATTGTCGATTTTCAAACAGATCTCTATTTTGCATACAACGTCTACAGATTTGCATATTTATACAGCGTTTACAATAATCCAATTTATTTATACAGATTCGATTATGAAACTGAATTGAATTTCATTAAAAACGCGTTAGGCCAGGGCGGAATAAAAGGTGCGGCCCACGCCGACGACCTGTTCTATTTCTTTTACAATCCCATAAATAAACATTTTATTGGAGATGAGCGATTGAAGAAAATAATTTACGAAGTAACGAAACTTTGGACTGATTTTAGTAAAACGGGGTAAGTAATTTTTTAAAGAAGAATATATATATTTCACTTAGAGTTAAAAAATAGGTCTTACTATAGCATCTTTCGTATCATATCGTTTTATCATTCTACTATATATTCAGCCATAATTTCGGAGTATATTTCAATACATTGCCCACGCTCAATAGTTTTATAAACGACCTATTGAATTTTCTAGATGCGTCTCATTCTTTATTTCGTAAACAGATTTGAACGACTCATCGACTTTTAAAAATCAATTATACGTAGATTATAGATGATCATATAGATGATTCATCAAAATAAATATTCATTGTTTATATTAACATAAAAAAAAATATACTAAGATATATTCGAGTTATCATTAAAACAGGGAAAATAAAACTATAATTCAAAAGGTATATATTGTAGCCGCATCCACATTAGCCGTGTAGATGAATAAAAAAACATCATATGCACATTCGTTCCTAACCACGCACTTAGCTATTCCAAGGAATTAAAAGTAAATAATCACATCTATTCTTCTTTGCCAATTGGATGAAATTCAAGTATTCGCGATACTTACTTATATTAAAAGATGCGAAGTATGTTCAGATCACCAAATTTCTATGCGCATTATGCGCTCTGATAAGTGATGACGAGGACTTTTTTTACGGAAAGGCGAGGTTGAGGAAATGCGAAGTTGTGTGCACTATTTTGTTTTATCAGCTTAGGTTCAAATGTGTAGTAACGGTTTTTCATCTGTGAAAGTACACAAACGTGGGAAAATGAAATAAAGCCGCTGGACGTAGCTTCTCGAGTTCTTTCAAAAAGCTAAAGATTTTCAAGAGTTTTGCAGTGTACGTGATTGTCCAATGTGCGTAGTGCGAGTTTTTTAACATTCTCGATAGCGTAAAAGTTAACTCAAAGTATGCAATGAGAACAGCGTCCCTAGCGGCAAGCTTAGGCAAACGTTCCAATTCCATACAAATATTCGTTAACTGGTGGTAGGACCTCTCGAGAGTCCGCGCGGGTAGGTACCACCGCCGTGAAGCAGTACCTAATGCGTTTCAGCTTGAAGGGTGGGGCAGACTTATATCTCAAGGTGGGTGGCGCATTTACGTTGTAGATGTCTATGGGCTCCAGTAACCACTTAACACCAGGTGGGCTGTGAGCTCGTCCACCCATCTAAGCAATAAAAAATAAAAAATAAACTTATACTATCGGGAACGTTACAAAACTCGCATTAAGCACACTGTTTAATAATGAAATCCATGTTTGATATATTTCAGAAATCCAACACCGGACAACGCTTTGGGTGTCAAATGGTATCCGTACAGTGTGAACGGGAATAAAATTATGTTTTTGGATGAGCCTTTGAGATTCGAACAATGCTTTGAAATTGATAGGGTCGATTTTTGGAACAAACTGTACTCGGAAGCAGGGAGGCCGTGTATTAAAAAAAGCAATTTATGATGAACTATAATTAAATATAATTTAAAAAAATGGTCCAAGTAGTAAAGACTAATAGTAAGGTTAAAGTGTTGAAAAATATGTGCCCATAAATTACTATAAATTCGTTAAAATCAATAGAATTCGTCTGTGATATGTGAAGTTAAAATGGCTTCGTGAAAATAAATTATTCTTTTTTTTTCAAATATAATACTAAAGTTTTATTTTTAATTTTTAATGTCAATAAATTATCCTTACAGTAGTGATGGACAGGATCTTTGATGATGATAGTCGGTATTATTTAGAAGACTGGCTGAATGTCGTTAGTGAAGTTAAGCGAAGTTACGTTTGGTCTAGAGGCTGTGTGGCGACTAGAGTAGCACCAACTCGTACCTTCCTCTTAGTTATAGGAGTACTAAGGGATTCATTGGAGAACATTAGCAAATGGTGATAGCCAATCGGCATTTATAAGGGCTTAGGCTGCCTCTCCACCGGAGCGGAGCGAGGCAGTGGAGCGGAGAAACGGAGAAATATTAACCAATAAGATTGCACAAAATCTCCGCTCCTCTTTAGAGGACAACGAGTTGCGAGCTAGTTTTTAAAAAAAATCATACAAAAGCGGTAAGTGGAGTGGGATAGCGGAGTGAGGCAGCGTGCTCCGGTGGACAGACAGTACACAACTCCGCTCTTCCTTACTCCGTTGCTCCGCTACGCTGGACAGGCAGCCGTATATTGAACTCGCACGTGCGATTCCGTTTGTTACGTGCAAAGCACTCTTGCATCGCTTTGAGTTCCCTGCCATGGCACAATCGTATGATGCAAAAAAAGGGAAATGTAATCTCTTCATTAGAAAGAACGTAATATAAATCACCAGTACTCTATAAAATAAACGAGATAATCAATAAACATATAAATATTTTCGACCAAAACGAATTCAGTTTTAATAGAATCGCCTACAAGAATTTATGCATAGGTTTATGTAGGTACTACTAATTTATAAAATCAATTTGCATCTAGGTTCTAATTGCACTGTAAAATTGTCCATATCTTTCATCATAACATCGAATTTGACGCGAAGTGGCTTGTTTTTTTCGTGTGTATATGTTGGATCCGTCGGCTCGGCTGGGCGGAGACGGAAATGACGTAGGAGATTGGCTGTTGCCGTCTTCATTGACATCGTCGCGTATTGATAACCTGAAAAAAGTGAGTTCCATTGGACGTTATTAAGCGAGATGTATTCAACCGACAATGTAATTATTATCATTATTGTTTTTAAGGTAATCCTGCTGAATTTCTCATAATAATATGTTATTATTGTCTATAATCTCGGTTACCACATTTCGTCTTCTCGCATTAAAACTGTATAATCTCAAAACTTACTAATTTTACAGGAGAGTGTTTTAAAGGTTTAACGTGTAATATTTTTAATATTAATCATCTTTGCCACATTTATTTTTTACCAATTACATTATCTGTCTTTTAAAGTAAGATAAAATTATGTATTAATTTTGTTATTAGTCGTCAAAACATAGGTAAACTAAGAAAAACAAACTAAAACTAAAGTAATGTAAAAATTTGTAGGCAGCGGCTTGGCTCTGCCCCTGGCATTGCTGAAGTCCATGGGCGACGGTAACCACTCACCATCAGGTGGGCCGTGTGTTCGTCTGCCTACAAGGGCAATAAAAAAAAAATGCTCTTTTGACAGTATTTAAGAGAAAAATATTGGTGATACCAAATGATTCCGCATATTAACTCAATTTCGAATATTTTTGGAAATTGTGCACTTTTAATGCGGATAGACGATTTTATGCTTCTGAGACAAAATATGAAATATGTTTGCTTAGGCAATTTGATGGAATCATCTGCTTATTTCATTTAAATTTACATAATTGAACCAGACGACGAGGTAACGCAAAGCCGTCATCATCCTAAACATGTCTTATCGGATCCTCTCGGTTCACTTTCGGTGCTTTTCACATCAGCATTAATGTCGAATTCATCAAAATGTCGAAGAGTTCGACGTGCAACCAAGCAAGGCTATGCGTCGTCTATTAAGGCACAACCCACCGAATTTTTCTCACCGGATCTTCTCAGGTCGCGATTCCGATTCGGTGGTAGATTTAGGGAAGCACTACCGTTGCTAGTGCCAGTATTAGTAAATTATCTGACGTTGAGCACGTGTGCTCACCTTCCCGTTTGCGAATTGTTAGAATAATCCCTTAGGCTAGCAGAGATTAGGGAGAAGAGAAAAAAAAATTGTTTTCTTTGTCTTTTCCTCGTTCTGTTTCGGAGACCCACAGTTCATTCTTGTCATGTCCCAAGTATAAATATTTTCTATTAGCGACGGTGACCAATCACCATCACGTGTATGCCCCGGGTCTTTCTTCAAAGACAATAAAAGCTTTTCAGCCCAACAAATAAATTTGGTGGGATAAGCGGTTTCATCTAAGGACGAATTCCTTTACACTCTTACATCGCGGTAAAAAACGTTCAGTACAGCACATCAGTGCGGTCAAAGAACTACGTAAATGGAACCTTGGATATATAATGGATAAGTCCAAATATGCGTACCAATACACGCTCTAGGGCCATGGCTGAAGGCCATGAACGCAGCGGGGTGCTTTATGGGCGTGTCAATAAAACGTTCCGGTCTAAATATATCGGCATCGTCGCCCCAGTAGAGCGGGTTCCTGTGCACAGCCCAGATGTTGATCACTATACCGCAGTTTTTGACCAGAGTTAATCCTGTTGCTGTAAAGATAAATTGGTATCAGTGTTAATGAAGTAGATATATTCGAAGGTTGCACTGTATGAATTATTTTGTTTTCGGTCTGGTATCATCTGGTTTACATACATAAGTGTTTTGGGAAACAGTGGAGAAAAGCAACTGACTGGGTTTGAGATAACATAACTGTAAAGTCGTAGGGTTCAGACCTGGAGCTAAATTTTATGTAAATAGTCCCGGTAATTCTGTTAATTCGGGCATATTACTTTGTTTTGAAATAAATTTATCCGAATCAGAACAAAAACAGGTTTTAAAAATAGTCTCCTTAATTAACGTATAATAAATGGGTTTTAAAAAAAGCGTGAAGGAGTTTTACACACTCATAATGATCATCGTCGTAGACCACGAATGAGACGTAAAACATCGGATTCAGGCGGTATGATAGAACTATAATTATTAAAGTTATTATAAACATAAACAGAGTTGATAATTATTTCACCACAAGCAACTTACGCAGCGTCACATCCTTATCGACCTTCCTGACGATGAGAGGCACTGGGGGATACAATCTCATTGTTTCTTTTATCACTGCCTCCAAATACTTCAATTTGGGCAGATCATCTGCAACTATAGGTCTATCGGAATCACCAAAGACTTCTTTCAATCTGGTATCGGAAAATTAAAATATGTGTCTTTAAATCATCTTTAAAGAATGTCTTCGAACGAAGGTCGGTTTCTAATTTAGTCTATTAATAGAAAAGCAGTTTCAGGAACAGTAACGCATTTCGGTTTGAAGGTTGTAACAGCCGCTATGTAATACAATTGATATATGGACTTCATAACTCAATATGTCTATGGGCTCCGCTGGCGACTTTGTACCAAATACATAAGTCACTTGTAAACCAGATGTGCATGCTTAAAGACACTCCTCTACAACCCTTATTTTCGCTTGACTAGACTTTAGCATTTACCACCTTCTTAAGTGTAGCAGTTATGAGTTCCCATGAGATGGGCTGCTGTTTTTTAATGCCATGGGAACTAATCTCATGTCTAAAGATCGGAGTTGTGACGTGCTTAGTGCGCAGAAACCACTTTAAAAACAGGTGGATCGTTAATTCCCGTTAATCCCGAGAGTTTAACAATCTTATTGACACCTATTGGGAACCGATATAGGGCGACCGTATCGTGACCGTATAATAATAGGTTGGGGAAAAGTCTTTTCGCATTATAGTATGTATGAGCTTGTAATAAAATCTCTTTGGCTATACTATTTGTATCTGGCTGTTTTATTGACTATTATTTGAATGAGTACTTACTCTTCGTAAACCTTCTCCTGCACGTCCTGGTGCCTGGAAAGCATGACAGATGTAAAAGCTACTCCAACCGCTGATGTGTCAGTACCAGCCAGAACAAGCACTAGAGTTTCCTCCTGAAGTTCCAAATCGGTGTAGCCTTTATTCCCTCCTGACGACTCGATTAGCAGTTCCAGAAATGATTTCAGGCCGTTTCTATGTGCATCTGTAGATAGGCAATATCTTTAAAATAATGAGTTTGGCGCTTTATCATTTTATTGTTTTAAATTTGATGGAAATAATCTAAAACTCACTTTGATCTGCTTCTGTGCTATCCTTTTGTTCCTCCAAACTATGCCGTTTTGATTTTATCACCTGCTTAATGAAAATGTTTGCTTATATTTAAATTATCGTTATGTTAAAATCAATTTCTATAGAAATACTAATTTTTTGTCGTCAAAAGCTAGTTAATATGCGACTATTAAATTTCTGTAGGCAGATTCCAATTCTTATAAGTAAATACGAACATTTTGCAGTAAATAACACCATTCTGACTTTCCGTCGCGAAGAAGCCATCGTTCCAGTTTGAAGCATGAAACGGAAGCTCGACTTCGTTCGACGCATTCATATTGTGATTTATTTATATATTAGGTTTTTACAACTGGACAAACAATGAGTACAGTATTGAATTCATCCTTTTGGGTGTGAACATAACTTGCATAGAGTCGGTTGTGTTAAAAGTCGACAGACAGACAGGGCTGGCTTTTATTTATTAAATAACTAAGTGATAATATTATTACATATAAAAACTAAGAAAATATAAACATAAACTGCAAATAAAAACGAACAAAAAAAATTACCAAGTACCTATAGCTACCGATTACATAAATAAGTTCACAATGCGTTTTTTATTGCTACCTATTCTAAAATGGTAAGACGCCATCTTGTAGCATATTGGTGCTATACAGCTACTACAGCCAACAGAGAGCGTTAGTATCATGTCATTTTGTCAGCTTTCCGTTGAATTTTGCAGTCCACAGCTACGAATAAATATTTATTCGTAGGTCCACAGTACAAAATTAATGTAATTGGTGTTTAGATGTGAATCACTTTTACAGTTAACATCATCCAACAAAACATTAAGTTTTATTAAACACACAAAGGAAAAAAGGGGATTCCCCATAGAAATTTTGGTATCTTTACTATACAGGTAAGTATTTACGTGCCTGGTCAATGAAATTGCAAAGAAAATCTTTGGAATCCTTATGCTGCTGGTACTGCGGCATCATTTTGTACACGGTGTCGTTATGGAGCCAAGGCTGACAGAAACGAGATGAGTCCAAACGACAAATTATTTCGAAGGCCCTCAGGAAAGGTTGCTCGGAGTTACCTTGAGCATTCACCTTCACTCCTAATGTCGTTTCTGAAATCAATGCATTTGAATGAATAATGGTAAGACAATATTTTGAGTAGGTATGTAGGTAATTAGGACTAGTATGTAATGATTAGGATTAGTACGTAACTAGGATAGTTGCAAACGTCTTAAATGTCTGAACGAAGGGTATTTTGTCCTTTGTTCATTTAATGGTTTTAAACAGAATTTCTCTACTAGCTATAGACACCATTACAGTGACTATCCTCTATAAAGAGGTTTTGTGTCATTTTCTGATTCAATAACATCTAGTCGATATGTAGATTCGTTGGGGACTAAAGTCGTGAAGCCAACGAATACCCTGTTGTATTTTATGAAAGTTTGCATACGCTAGACCGCGACGATGTGTTGCACCAAAGGCAAATTTTTTCATCCAAAAAGTCGAAATTAATATTTTGAAAGAGGTCCAAGTAGAAATAAACTAGTATTCCGAGTATTTGTCAATAGGTAGGTACAATCGTTGATAGATACACAGAACAGAGCACTACATATTCCTATGAGATTCAAATTATTTTGTGCTTTCATATAAACTCATAGAGAAATCGGGAGTACCTACCAGTTTTGCTGATGCAAAATATAGATGCTCCTGATTTTGCTATGAAACGAGACTGACCTTCCATTTAAATTCACACTGCATTTTTTAATAAAACGTACCTATCTTTTATGTCATAACGGATAAGATAGGAACTCGGCTTCTAATACCGAGTGAGGCAACTAAGCCGGTGTTCAAATTACGCTGCCCGTGTTTTAAGCACCATTTTTGGCAATATTTTTAGCATTTCTTCCATCAAACGTGATTTAAAAAGAACCCTGAGCGGTGGGCACTAAGCTTGAGTGTGCCCTCGCAGTTTTAGTGTCCATGAGCTACAGCGAACACTCGCTACCAGTTGGGCTATCTGAGAAAATAAAGTAATAATAATTATTTGAAATCTTACCACATATCGAATCCATAGAATATGTATTTATGTATTTCCATATTGAAAAATTCCCCGTCTTTGCAGCTTTCCCAAGATATTTGACCATATAAGAACTTTGTTTTGAGAAGATGTCCACAAAGTGTGTTAGGTTCTTAGGACTGAAGGTCGGAGCTAAGATTTTACGACGAGGACGCCATATTGAAACTGTAAGAACAAAAATCGACATTAAAAGGACCACCAATGAATAAATATGTCGTTTCCTGTATTATCCAACGGTTTCGAGAATTCTAGAACTTGCACTAACGAATCTTTCAACTATCAAACTAAGCCATTGTTAATGAAAAAACCCATCCACGGGAAGCTGAAATAGCCCCTCAGGCTACCAGCGAATAAGTAGGCAAAAATATGAAAATACAATTAAGTTTAAAATGTTGTAATTTTTTTTAATAACTAAGCCGATCAAAATCGTAAAAAAAAACATTGTTCTGTTTATCTTGATCGCCCCGTTTCTTGGGTATTGTATTTTGGTTTTGTTTTTCAGGGGAGTAGGTAAGTATTGGTGGTGGAGGATTTTTTTCACGAAATGGGAGATTTGATTGTCACACTTTGTAGGGTATGAGCATGAAGGATTCGCGGTAAATACGTAGGGTAACTGCGCCTATCCCACGCGGTATTATAATTTACAATACGCTCTACAGCATTTATGCTGATCCAAAGAGTTTTTCGAGCTTTAAGTTTATTTAAAGGATGCAATTTCTTCATCAGGGAAGTTAATTGTAAACACAAACGAACTACGTCCTTCGACGACAAGTTTTCTCTGTAATTGTAATTAACTGTTAAGACTCATGATTGACTTCACTAAATCCTTTTATTATATTATAGGTACTAGCGATCCGCCCTCGCTTCGCTTCGGAAACTGTAATTTATTATTGATTTCTCCACTATTTAATGGATGTTATTATACATACAAACCTTCCTCTTCAATCACTCTATCTATTAAAAAAAAACGCACCAAAATCCGTTACGTAGTTTTAAAGATTTGAGCACACATATGGATATAGGGACAGAGAAAGCGGCTTTGTTTTATATTATGTGTAGTGATGACTAATTATGCGTGTATAATCACAAACCAAATATATACCAAACTTAGAAATAATTTAATTTATGAATTATCTTTTAACAGTTTTTGTATTGTAATTAATTATTATTACCTGGAGCGAACACGCTTCCGTTTCCGACGAGGAACCGGGAACATTTCAAGATATCGTCTTTTTCTAAACAAGTTTTGAGGACGTACTCCGCCATAACAGGTTCTGATATCACTGAAATTAGAAAAAAGTTTTTATTGTTTTAAATCAGCTGACAATCACACGAGCATCTCGTAGGAGATTTGACTTTGACCCAAAAACTGTATTTAAAACATGGAGACCAAAAATATCTTTACGTATAGATATTTAGGTATATGTAAAGGTAAGTGAATTAAAAGAACCAAATGTGGTTTAGAATTTTCAACTTGAAATGTTGCAATTACAGACAGGTGCCCGAGCTGATGTGTCTGTGTCTAAAGCCGAATTTACATTACGAAATTAGTGGCGTGAAATTAATTTCCTGACATTAGTTTTACCAACAGTTTCACGTGTAATTTAATACTTTCGTAATGCATGCATTGATTTCATGCATGCAAATTAGTTTCGTGCCCTGCGCAATTTTTGGGTGAAATTAGTGTCATGCAACTAATTTCATAGTGTAGACGCGACGTAAAGTTGGTATAATTCATGGCAAATACTTACTGACGTAAAGTCGGCTACCCTGCCAGAGAGCCAATAAGCCTCCGCGCTCCGTAGACTCTTTGCCGAGACGTTGAAACGTTTTCATTCGTTCTATAACAATCCCGGATTTTTAATTAGTTTTTTCGAATCACTACATAGTATAAAACAAAGTCGCTTTCTCTGTCCCTATATCCCTATCTATGCTTAAATCTTTAAAACTACGCAACGGATTTTGATGCCGTTTTTTTTAATAGATAGAGTGATTGAATAGGAAGGTTTATATGTATAATAACATCCATTAAATCGTGGAGAAATACTGTTATCAAGAATAAATTATAGTTTCATAAGCGAAGCGAGGGCGGGTCGCTACTTACTACTAATACGGAGATATATCAACTCTCACCCGTACATAATCCTAAATCTTAAATTTTATTAAACAGAAGCTTATCAATAACAAATATAGTTTCAAAATTGGATCGATGGTTACAGAACGTATAAACATATATACAGACATGTTTGCCCTCGTTTAAATGTTTTAGTTATAGGCCTTTATGCTTAAAGAGTAGGTACATATTTCATTAGAAAAATTGGTACCCGCCTGAGATTCGAACACCGGTGCATCGCTCAACACGAATGCACCGGACGTCTTATCCGTTGGGCCACGACGACTTCAAACAAATGTTCACGATTGACTTCCACGATGATGGAATAACATCGTGTAATAAAAATGAAACCCGCAAAATTATAATTTGCGTAATTACTGGTGGTAGGACCTCTTGTGAGTCCGCGCGGGTTGGTACCACCACCCTGCCTATTTCTGCCGTGAAGCAGTAATGCGTTTCGGTTTGAAGGGTGGGGCAGCCGTTGTAACTATACTGAGACCTTAGAACTTATATCTCAAGGTGGGTGGCGCATTTACGTTGTGGATGTCTATGGGCTCCAGTAACCTCTTAACATCAGGTGGACTGTGAGCTCGTCCACCCATCTAAGCAATAAAAAAAATAAAAATAAAAAGATTAAAAACGCTCAAGTCAGGACGGAATGATTTTCAAATCGGCCTTTTCGTCATTCCTTCAAAAATCACGCTGGTGAACTATAGAACTGATTTTGATAAAATCTTTGACCTATATACATATATTACATTTTGTATGTAAAACGGTAATTTTATCCCAATTTTTTTGACTGAACTACGTGTCTTAAAAAGTTATTTCTAAGTCTTAAACTGTTCATAAAATAATTAAGAATATTCGATTTTATATCCTCTTTTAATAGTGAATGCAAAATTAATGTTGTTCCTCCAGTCCTCTCAAAGATGATTTGTTTTAGTCAGAGGTGTATAGGTAGATAATTTAGAGATAATGTCGGGAGTCTTCAAGTTTTAAAACTACACTATTAAGCCTACCTTCCTGAGATCCAAAGAACATATAAGCGTGCCCTATGAGTGGCAAAGCTGTGTAATCGTTCTTCAACTGTTCCCATACTTTCATCATCTCCTTCTTCTTGTATCTCTGCGATAACAGCCATAACGCCACAACAATACACAGTATTAATTGCACTAACATTATATTTTTTTGTTGATAATTCGCGTAGTCACGAGAAACGTATGAGTACCATCATCGCTGTGCTTAGATTATATGGACTGCATAATGTAAATATGGCTTTAGGGTTCCCCATGCAACTTTTTGGAGACTCTTATGGTTCTGCACATATTTCTAATAACACCAATTATACTGTTATAAAGGCCTGCTGGGTGCCCACACTATTGTTATTCGCCGTTTTGCCCATCTCTACCGCAAAATAATGATCCGTTATACTTTAAATATGTAAAGTTTATTATATAAATTTAAACCTCATGCCTGAAGGTGAGTCGTAGCACTCGCGTCACGAAAAGGCAATAATATTCTAAAAAGGTGGGTAATTTCCCTTTTAATTAGCCGAGCGAGTAATGTTTGTGCTCAGTTATTCTCAAACGAACATCGATCAAATATTGATTCGTCTTCAACAATAATTATTATCTTTTATTGCCTAAGCTTCGGTGAAATAATGTCGAAGTATACTAGCTGTAGTTTTGTTTGAAATAGTCCTCTGTATTGTAAAAATTCAACAAATTTTATTAAAAATAAATTGTAAAAATGTTTTTTTAATTTCTTATTTCTGTAATACGATTTGTGTTGGATATTTGTATCATATTTGTGTAATTGTGTTTACACGTTCCTTATTGCATCATTTAATTGACGATAGGGCATGTTTTAGATGCCGCATCATCCCAATGTTCATGTAACATGTAACATTTTGTGTAATGTGAAGCAAAGGCGCGTGTAAGTTTGAACAGCAAGATCAAGTGAACCTTCTACGTCGTTTCGAAGTAGAACATTCTTAGGGATCATCATTTCGGGGGGAAATCTATACTAATAATTAAATCTACAGTGATTTTTACGGATCTTCCGTTATAATTACTGAACCATGCATCCGATTGACTGGAAACTTGGTATCCATGTAGAAAATACATGTACTTAATGGACCAGTTACCGTCATGTTATACCAGTTGCGAGGCGTTAATGATGAGAATGTTTGTGGGGGTTAGAAAAAATAATGTTAATTTTAAATGCCCAGCGAAGCGGATGGGTACAGAGTACCTAATATATAAGAATGATAAAAACGTGGAAATTGAACAAAAGGAAATTTCGATTTTCCAAAATAATTAAAGTTAATCGTCCTCCGTGATGACCACAAAAACTTAAGATTCAAAGCATCGGCAATAATAAGTGCTAAATTAAACCGTATAAAAAGTTTTAAGAACGCGGTTTTAAAAGCGGAGAGGCGGATTGTAGGGATTGGAGGGCGTCTATGTGTGTCGCTGTGTACTGCTAAGGACCCTCCACATACCATGTTTGAAGAAGAACATGTTCTAGAGCTCGGATTGCAAAAACGATTTCTGTAAATGCACTGTGGATGAACACATACGGTTCCATACACATACGAAAAACAACGGCTTCAAATAGTAACTCGTGGGATCCTCGTGATCCGTGATTTTTTTATTGCTTATGTGGGCGGACGGTTCACGGCCCACCTGGTGTTAAGCGGTTACTGAAGCCCATAGACATCTACAACGTAAATGCCGCCACCTACCTTGAGATGTAAGTTCTGAGGTCTCAGTATAGTTACAACGGCTGCCCCACCCTTCAAACCGACACGCATTACTGCTTCACGGCAGAAATAGGCAGAGTAGTTGTACCTACCCGCGCGGACTCACTAGAGGTCCTACCACCAGTAAAAACTTATGTCAAAACGTCATCCAAATGAACATATATGCGTGGTTTTAACAGAATTGATTTGCTTCTAAACCTTTATTGACTATCCAGACTAGAATAATAATCCACTCGAATGAAGCGTGTGGAAAAACACGAGAGCTTATTGACAGGAAAGCTTTTAACCTATGTCCATGACGTCATAGAAAAAAAGAATACAAAATAGTTATTTAAGAAGAATATGGTCGAAAGCTAGTCAAACATTGTTATGTTGATGAAGCGAGTGTAGTGTTTGTATAAGTTTCGAGTCAAACTGACCTTCACACGTAATTTTTCATGTTTGTGAAGGTGACGTGACATAATAGTACTTAATACTTAACGCACTGGTTAATTTACTTTGTATCTTACAAGATAATGTTGCTTGGAGTCGTTCAATGATCTATTCGGTTGAAATAGTATATATACTGATTCTTCTTGAAAACCTTGACATATTTGGCGATTCCCTTCCAATATTTAAGAACAAAATTATAAAAAGTTGTTGTTGAACCTCAGCCTCAGCCTTGGTCTGAGTACTCGGGTATTACTGCCCTTGTTGTCTTTCTTTTGTTTTTAATTTTTTATTATTATTAATAGTATTGTTAAATCTCTATTAATATATTAATGTAATGCATGCTGTGATNCCTTCCAATATTTAAGAACAAAATTATAAAAAGTTGTTGTTGAACCTCAGCCTCAGCCTTGGTCTGAGTACTCGGGTATTACTGCCCTTGTTGTCTTTCTTTTGTTTTTAATTTTTTATTATTATTAATAGTATTGTTAAATCTCTATTAATATATTAATGTAATGCATGCTGTGATTGCCTATAATTAGAGTTGCAGTTATCGATTGCTCTATACATGTCAATGTTATTTTATGTCTTACTGTAAACCCTGTCGGTAATCCTTAAATAAATAAATATTTAAGCATTTGCATTCTTCATTTCTCGTTTGACTTCAAATTTATTTCGAGATTTAAACGTATCATTGTAAATTATTGTATCATACGTAAATTGTCACACTGGTGTGGATGGACACTGGATAGACACTTGCTCTACTGGTGGTAGGACCTCTTGTGAGTCCGCGCGGGTAGGTACCACCACCCAAGGGCGGATCCACCTTTGGTGCCAGGAGGGGGTCACATAGTCATAGTCAAGTCAAGAAATTATAATTTAATTTTGATAACAATAGATACAAGTAAAAAGTAGGTTTTTTTTATTTTTATTGCTTAGATGTGTGGACGAGCTCACAGCCCACCTGGTGTTAAGTAGTTACTGGAGCCCATAGACATCTACAACGTAAATGCGCCACACACCTTGAGATATAGTTCTAAGGTCTCAGTATAGTCACAACGGCTGCCCCACCCTTCAAACCGAAACGCATTACTGCTTCACGGCAGAAATAGGCGGGGCGGTGGTACCTACCCGCGCGGACTCACAAGAGGTCCTACCACCAGTAATTAGGTATTTTATTAATGTACGTAAGTACTGTACTTAAAAATATTTATTCTTTATTGTACACTTGAAAAACATATCACATAATAACTTGTACATATTTAAAAGCTTTTATTTTTAAAAGCATTAAAATCAATGTCACGACGACACACTTGATTTCATTGTGTGAATTTGAATAAAAATAAACTTTTGTCAAAGCATTAAAATACGTGCATCCGTAGATATAATTATAGTTTATAGAATAATAATTTAATTTTTAGGTCACTCTTTTTAAAATGTCAACGCGTCAATCTACTTGGTACTGTTGGTAAAGTAGAGACGGTTTTCATCGAGAAGGTTCTTTAGACCCTCTCTGTCAGCTGTTTTCCTATTTAATTAAAGAACTACTTTGGAACTTCAAATTTTGATTCGTTTTATCGTTCTATTCTTAAATACACAAATAAAAGTTATATCTAAAAATGTATTCCAAACTAAGTCTAAGATTTATAATTATAATATAAAATCGAATGTATATTTACTTTAAAAAAATTACTAAACCGAATACAGTCGCCCCATTTATTTTTTACAATCAAAAAATTTAATCCGTATTAATGTATTTACGTGTTTTCCCAAACATTTTCCTCTTGATGCGATGTTTCAATCGACTTGCAATACTCTCACATCTACACTTTTTGAAGTAACTATAACATTTTCATCATATGAAACCAAAATAAATTGAACCCAGCACTTGGTAATTCACATAAATAAAATACATGAGCAGTGTTAGTACTGTGGTGTAGTCCATGTTTATGAAGAGTCGGAACAGTTCCCGGAGCTTACAGTACCTACTCGCATTGTCCAAGCCCACATGATGAGCAAACATTATTTCTTGCATATGCGATTTTGTTGGATTGTGTCCCGGAATATGATCATGACTACTGTTCTCCTAATAATATTGGGTCGGTCGCTCCTCGTTGAAATACGAATCTTCGCTAATTTTCAAAAAAATTATTAAATACAAAACCTCTGAGTTTTCTTTTTGCAAATTACTCGGTTAATGATAATATGTAAAATTTCTTAATTGGCGCGTAATCGCAGGCTTGCAGCATAAATGTGGCAACCCTGATTATTTGCATCCCATTTATAAATGGAACAAAATTATTATCATTCTTATTTTAAAATTTCAAATTAAAACAAAATAGAATGAATTCGAATGTTGTAGTGTCAGTGAATCGACGTTTGATTTTCAATCACTGAGCGAACGCTAGTTATTACTTATATACCTAAACTACTTTTGAATAATTATTACGACAAATAAACTTACCGAAAGTAGATTTAAAAAAATCTCTGACAGAGCCATTCTGTTCTGCTATCATATATCATACCTATATCTAGAAATAGATCTGAGTATGGAGGCTTAAATTGACCTTAGGAAACTGTATTTATAAGCATACGTTTACCGTCTGAACAGATCGGAGAATGGTATATCTTACTAAAATAAAAAATAGATAATAGGAAAGTAGAGAATCCTGATCACGTAGGGGCCAGTCAATGTCGACGCCCTAGACACGTCCTTACGGATCCATCAGATCCAATAACATTTGCTTTAGACGCCTTCAGCTCTAACACTAGGAACAACTTAGAGAACCCGGTAACCGTACTCGTCGAACTCGACAAAGAGTTCGACGTACAATCTAACCCATGCCTCAGCTCGCTGAGTTTCTCGACGGATCTTCTCAGCGGGTCGTGATTCCGATCCGGTAGTAGATTCATTCGCGAAGCAGCTGCTCTTGCTCGGGCAGTTGGTGGCATATCCCACCCCTCTTGGCTGAGCCTTTGCTCGCCC